GGTAAAAAACGAAAAAAAGGGAAACTTTAAATTTGGCAGATTTGATATCCATTACAAGTTATTCTATTTGATACTGCCATTTTTTAATTAGAATTCTAAATTTTTGTGTTCAACAACGTAACAAATCATCTTGTGTGTTGACTCTAGGCAATTTTAATAACCAATCATCTTTGGCAATCCCAAAAATGCAATCTGCTCTAAAACTCCAATGAAGTTAAATTCAATCTATCTTTAATAAACTTGTCAATCAGAATACCTTGAGACTAACATGAGAGTGACTTTACCTGCAGCTAAATAACCAAAAAAAATTGTACTTTTATGAAATTTTCATCGCAACTTCAAGCAAAGTTCAGTCCCAAACTGTAATCATAACTGTGTTTTCACAAGATCACATCTCTTTGATTTGCAAATGTAAAAGTAATATCTTATTTTTGCTCATATTGTTGACAATAATATATATGAAAATTTCTGTTTTGTGAAGCCAGGTAGATGGTTTGGATTAAAAAATTGAGAGGCCTTGAAAGAGGAATCTGTCTGCTGAGATAATTGAAGACAAATGAGAAAGAAACTGCTATGTTGATTTATTGGGAAAGCTCTCTTTCATATCACCGATGACTCATGAAATAGTTTTTTATTCTTTTTCTATAACCTAAAAATTAATTTGTGTGTGCTTACATTATCAGTCAACCAGCACCTTGCTCACTCGAAGTATATTGGGGGTATGATATATTATGATTTTGTTTTGGAAAACTGTAATGTAATCTAATATGATTACATTGTAAAAATTTTCTTATAATATATATATATATACTATAATTTAACGCTCTTGTCGTCACATATTGTGTAAATACTTTTATACGGAAATTACCATTTATTTTTATGACTTTTCTCTTATCATTTGAGCGAGAAAATCGAACATATAGAGATATTCTGCGTTATACACAGGCATTTTTTTGAATGAACATATATTTTCTTCTCTCCTCAACCTCTATTTGATATGGATTGAATTATGCGTGTTCTTATTTTGATTAATTTAAAGAGGCAAAAACTTTATCTAGACTGAGTCATATTTCCATTGATCAAACCAACTATAATTAAGGGATTTTTTTTTTTGAAAGTAAATGGTATTCTGACCTGCTCTTTTAGACAAACAAAAAAAAAAAAAAAGGAAAAAAAAAAAAAAAAAAAAAGATGAAGTTGGAATACTTTTCAAAAAATTTTTATTTTTATTTATTTGGTTCATAAGTGTCTCCTTGGACTCAGTTTGGGCAAATTTTTCCATGTTTAAAGTCTAAGAGTTATATATATAAACAAGAAAGCGTTACTAGATATTTATTTACGTTTGTGGAGTGTGATTTTGATTCTGCATAATTATACCATTTGTAATTCACATATTGCCAAATGCATATGACAAAATTAATTAGATTTGGTACTAATTATTAGTTAGATATGTGCCCAGAAAGCCATTACAGCTTTTTAAACATTTGTTTTGTGTGTCACTATTTTTGGGTCAATAATGGATTTTGGATTTTTTTTTTCCATTATTACACTGAGGTGTTACCCATATATAATTTTCATATTATGAAACAAATCCTTATAAAAAAATAAAAAAATAGATTCAAATTAATAAATTCTTTACAATTTCTGGATTTTTTTATCAACATTTGCTAATGTAGCATTAGTTATTTCCCCATTTTAATAAAAATTTTTAAGTAATTAGAAAAAAAGGGAAAAAAAAATTAAAGAAAACCCTTCATTGCAATTTCTTTTTCACTGCATTATTCAACCATTAAACATATCGCCATAATCAAAAGCATTATTACAATGGTGCATTGTTGTCCTATAAATTTCTTGCCAAGCCGCGCATCGCAATTCCATCCATCATGGTTGGATCGCAACCATTACTCTAAATTTGTTAACCTTCCTTTATTCCAAGAAGAAACAAAGTCATCGTATCCTGTAGCAAAATTCCTTATATAAACTCCATTATCTTGAGCAAACCAAACACAATCATAACTGTAACGCCAAACACTACCATGATTGTCACATTTTGGTATAATATGGCCAGCAAAGTTAAATACATCGAGACTAACATGAGAGTATTTGTCTGGGGCTAAATAGCACCAATACAGTGTTGACCACATGATATTTTCTCTAAATTTCCAAGAAAGTTCAGAGCCTGCAGTGATATTTTGGACGCCAAGATCATTATCTTTAGACTTGCAATGAGCAAGTAAGATCTTGTTGTTGCCCAATCTGTTGACAATATGCATATGAAATTCTGGTGTTATGGCTATTTTCTGGGGTGAGTTTTCAGAGGCTAAAGAGGGACTTATTGAAGGCAATATAATGAGCAAGAAAGTAGTTATCTTGATCTTGGGAAAGCTCATTGTTTTGGCTGATAGGGTTTATTTCTTTTTTTCTCTACTTGATGTGCATACATCTATATATATAGACTTGCATAATGATACTAGAAAGATTTATAGGCCCAATGCATAAATTTGTCCATGTACGTTATGGAAAAAAGACTCTGTGACACCCTTAACTTTTACTTTAATCTATTAAACACTTCAATTTATAAAATTGTATCAATTAAATACTTTAACTTGCAAAAACTATTCTATTGAATATTCAAACTTCTAAAATTAGATTAATTAAACACTCAGTAAATAATTGAAAAGTGTAAAAATTATTATTCCAAAGATTTTATACTAACCACATATTATCTTGCACATAAATGCTAAAAACACCAAAAAATGTTATTATTAATATAGAGAGGGATACAATGTTAGCAAAATTTATAATTTTATAGGCATAATAAATCACTTGCAAAATTTGAGTGCCATGAAGTTTTTTCTATAAAATAAAGAGGTATATTTATGCATTTCGCCAAGATTTATATGGATATACTGCCATTTATAGAGTTCAATACTGATGTTGGTAGGCCAATTGTAATTATAAACACATTGCCAAATGCATACGGCCAAATTAAGTAGTTTGGTGTTTAATTACTAATTATATGTGTGCTTAGAAAGGCATTTTTTGATTGTGTTACTATTTTTGTGTCAATAATGGATTTTATTGTTTTGTATTATTAAATTGAGGTGTTACCATTTTGCTGTCATAGAGGTGGCGTCAAAAGCATAGATTGGAATAGCATCTTCCTTCACCGGAACTAGAATTAAAAAAAAAAAAAAAAAAAAAAATGATATTGTAGGGGAGGACCCACATGTATTAAAGTTTTTTTGGAACTCTCTCACGACCTCAAGATTAAGTCAACATCGCGTTATGGAAGCGATTATAGCGCTCTAGCGGTCGCACACCCACCCACGCATTAAATCTTTTTTCTGTCTAATTCCTAGTTTTTAATCTATATCCAACACTATTTAATAATTGATGGTCTCTCAAATAGTAACAATCATACCCTTTGTAAACTACCATTTGCCGAGTAACCTCCAATGTCTAAATTACTGAATATTTTATCTTGCAAACCCGCAAAATAAGTTAAAGATATATTAATTCTAGAAGTACACTCAGTAAATATTGAAAAGGTGTAAAATTTACTAGTGTTCATAAGCATTATACTTATGAGCTACTTTGGCCAACGGTTTGAACCTCCCGGTTCACGGTTTAACTAAATATTAATATCGGTTGGCCAGTAAAATTTGGCTGAAAAAATACACCAACAAGCAGTAAGGAATGTTTTAATTATTAAGCCTATCACGAAGGACGGGACTACAGCATGTTAGCCTAAATACTTCTACTGGTTTTCTTACTAGTCATTAATAACCACGTTTCCAGGCTACTTCCGCCTCATTTAAACACTGTTTGGACGTGGCCAGATGTAATCTAGGGTTTTTCTTTAAAAATTAAACAAAAGAGAATATATATGGGGCGTAAATATAGTTCAAGTGGGCCCATTTACGGGAATATTTTTCTTCAAAATTTAAAATTTAAAAATTTGTGAAATAATTTCTAAAAAAATACACTTAAAAAATTAAAAAATGCTTGAATTTAATTTATTATTTTTTAAAAATATTTGATCTCAATTTATTTTAAAAAAAAAGTCTTCAACTAAATTTATTTATTGTTTAAACAGGCTGAAACTTATTATTATTATTTTTTAAAAAGGGCTTGAACTTAATTTATTTTAAAACAATTAAGTTGCCTACGTATCTTCTTGGGGTTTATAGGAATCAAAGTCTCGTAGTTCTTACTTACCTTGCATCAATTTCACCCCTTTTATCTTAGTTGCTATTGTCACAGTTGATGTTCCCGTTGAGGACCTATCGTAAATATTATATGAATCTTCATTTTCTTTAGTATTTTTTTGTACTCTTAGTTCGGCCTTACTCCAACCATCTATGCATGATTGTGCTTCTAGTGAATTAGGTGTGATACAAAATCTTAAACAGTATATAATATAATTATAGATTTAATAAAATGAAAATTGTTAATGATGAAAGTTTTATACTAATTAAATTTTTGGTCATGATTCTTCTTTTTGATTTCGTATTTATTCAAATTTTCAGAAAAAAAAAGCAAAATATGAAAAGCTATGGTAAATATTTTATTTAATTATTTCTTACAAATAAATTAAAATTACAATGAACATCATTATTGATAAATAATAAAAAACTATAAAAATTAAAAAGAACTGATGTGAGACATGTTTGAACTCTCGACCTCAAGATTAATCAACATCGCATAAGCCAACTCCACCACCAGCAATAATTTCTCTCTGTTTATCTATAACAAAGGTCCTAGACAACTATGAACTGGTCCGAACTGAATTTCGAACCGACTGAAAAAATCGGCGGTTCTAACTGGTTTTGGCCGGTTTTTTGAACCTCCGGTTCACGGTTTCAAAAATGGTAGAATTGAAACTAAACCGTAGGCCACCGCTTTCGGTTCTCATTCCAGTTCGGACTGGTTTCAAACCGGCGGTTCTGGTTCAAAAAACCGGATTTTGGCCATGCAGGGAGGATTATATTTTTATTGTATGTCAAAGGGCAGGGTTCAGAGTTTGGATAACAAACACCTCACTAAACCTTGACTCAGAATGGCATCTATTACCCGCAAATCCCCATTCTTGTGCCGTTTCCTGGCCTTTTCTAGCAGACCCATTTCGCATTTTGGTCAAAGAACTCAAGTTTCGTTCAATCCTATTCAAATAACTGGATTAAGAGCTTCTACTTCCTGCACATCCTATCCTAATTCGCTGAAATCTACCAATGGAACTTTGCTTAAAGATTTTGTATGGCAATTGAATTTTGGTCGCTATTGTGCCTCGGCTTTATCGGATGGTGGCTCAAGTGGTTCTGGTGGCTTTGGGGGCTCTGGCTCTGGGAATTCTGGAGGCAGAGGTGAAGGCGAAAGCGGTGGTAGCAGTAGCGATGGTGGGTCTGGAGGAAATAACTGGTCTTTTCTCTCCTGGTAATATTTGATTTTGCTTTCCTTTCTTCAATTTATTTCTTTTCAGAATCGTATTTGTTGCAAGACATGAATGCCATTTTTCTTTCATATGCAGCAATGGTAAGGTTAAGAATCGCAGTCTTTAAATTTTAGTTATGATATAATTTGCTGTTGGTACAATTGCTAATCAGTACTTATTATGGGAACCTTTTTGATTAAAAGCTGCGCTGGAGAAAATTGCTAATCACTAATCAATTTGTGATGCTGAATAGTAACTGATAGAGGTGGTCATCAATTAGTTACTAAATTGAGGAGGTTTAATGATGGTAAGAAAAGAAAGCAAATTAAGTAGTGGAGAGATTTTCATTTGGTGGCAATAGAAGAAAATTTGTAGCTAGATTGAACGAAAAACTGACATTTTTGGTCCATCGAATGCAAAATCTAACAGAATGGTTATTTGTTCAACAAAACTAAAACAGGACCATTTAATTGATTTTCAAAGTAGAAGTATTGACTAACGTATTTTGGTTTTGATCAATTTTCAACTGAAACAACCAAACATGCTTCTGTAACTAACCATAATGGGATTTGATTTACAAATATGAAATCCAAGAATATTGAAACTAAGTAATTCTGAGACTATTTGAAAATAGAAGAACCAATAACAGTAAAAGCTTAATTATTCAAGCAAATCTAGAAGACTGAAAGTTACCAAAAGACCCTTACATTATAAAACTAACTCTAAACTTATAGGTACTTAACTAGCATTTGCTTAAATGTTGAAGGCCCTTATAATAAGTGCTACAAAGTAAGTACCAAACCACCCCCCCACCCCCCCAAAAAAATAAACACTCTCCCCAACCACAAAAAAAAAAATAAAAGAAAAAATGATAAATAATGTTCCAGTGTAAACATGAAAAAAAAAAAAAAAAAAAAAAATTAAATATGTACCATGTAAACCTGCGTCATAATCAATACACAATGCTGTCTTCACCAATTCCTCCTTGCTAGAAGATTCTATTTTATCTTGAGCTTTATCAATTAGTTGATTAAAGGTTAATAAGTAATGGCAGAATTTTACTGATTCCAACAAGTTATTTTTGTGCCAATTATATTCATTTATATGTTACTTTACATAATTATTGTAATATCTTCAAGGGCTGACATTTTATCAAATTCTCCATTTTTTCTATTAATTTTTTCTGCTCTTTATTTACTTTATTGCATTTGTTGATGAAACATTTTTCGTGCCTTTGTCTCCATGTCTGTCTCTTCTTCCTTTTGTGTTTTCATGCCTTGCTTCCTTCAGAAATAAAGATTGGAACATTTTCCTTTTATTTCAACCACAATTACATTTTCTTGCAGGTATTTGACTCTTCTTGCTAAGTACCCTGTTTTGACAAAAGCCCTGACATCTGCACTTTTGACTTTTATTGGGGATTTGATCTGCCAGGTAGTTTTTCCTTGATTGCGATCAGAGATAGTACCAATTGAACAGTTCCCTTTCTTTCACATCTCATTATTTCTTGGTTTTTCTCATATATCTGTACAATGTGCATGACTTTGTGCATATTTATTGATCTCAGATGATCTTTGTATATATCCTGCTTACATATTTCTATTCCTATTTCTATTTGTTTCATTGGACAGAAGCAATATTATTTACTTGGTGCATTGTTAAATTGATTAGTTTTTCTATAATTTAATCACATAAACAAATTGATCTTTAAGCTGTTGAAACTTTGTCCATTTTATGGAGTTAAGAAATATATATGATTTTTGTATGAAATCTTGAATGCTTGTTATCTTATTTTTCTGCAACAACCTGTTTGAAGCACGTTTGAGCAACCAACTAATTTCCAGGCACAGCACTCCGGTTGAATGCAATGAGAGAATACAGGATTAACCCCTGGTGACTGAAAGTTGCCTGTGAGAATATTCAAAGTTGGGGAATCCAGTGGAAGAGGTGCCGTTTTGAATTTTCGAATCAAAGAGAGACTAGGCCAGCCATGCTGATTCTATATTGCTATATTCTCTCATATGCTTTGCTTTCTATTTTCCCTTCTATTCCTCTTTGCCCCTATTACTTAGTGGGAACTTATTAATGAGTCTTGATATCAGTGACTTCATGTTCTTTCAATGGGATAATAATTTTATCATTTTGCTAAGTGTTGTTTATTTATTTGCCTCAGCTGGTGATAGATCAAGTTCCATCTCTTGACGTAAAAAGGACGTTTCTATTTACTTTCCTGGGATTGGTACTAGTGGGTCCAACCTTGCATTTCTGGTACTACTTTGCTTTTTCCATATTTTTGTTCTCTACTACAAGTAAATAGTTTGTGATGAGTTTAAAGAGAATCTTTCTATCCAATTATGGATGGTGTATAAAAACACATGCCCTTGGGGAAATCCAACAAAAGAAAAAAGAACAATAAAGAAGCCTCAATCTTCACCAGACATTCTACCTTTTCAAATGACATTTCCGTTTGCACTTTTGACAGGCATTATAACCATTCAAATTTTATATTTTGTTTGATCAAAGTTGATTATGATGATCCAATTGTAATCTACGTGATACCATTGTAATCTATGATGATCCAATTATGCTAATTTAGTTTATGTTCTTTCCTTTATATTATTATCAATTTTGTTTAGGTATTAGCCATAGTTATAGTTCATTAACTCATCTTACTAATCTAAAGGAGAGAAGTCTATGCTTTTATAAAGCCCTATATCTTTGCTTTTATAAAGCCCTTTTACTTGCATTTATGTAACTCAATTTTCGTCAGGTATTTGTATCTGAGTAAATTGGTAACACTCCCTGGAGCATCAGGTGCATTCTTGCGCCTACTACTTGATCAGGTGAATGCTACACAATGACCTATTTGATCTTCATCAATTAGATGGCTAAATGCTGTGCTGAAGCTACAGCTAAACTGGTGTAATTTAATTGCAGTTCCTTTTCTCTCCTATATTCATTGGAGTTTTCTTGTCTGTGTTGGTGACGCTGGAAGGAAGGCCAGAGCAAGTTGTTCCTAAGCTTCAACAGGTTGTATTAAATGCTTTTTTTTTCCATTGCCTCTACATTTTCTATATCTGTAAAACCTGTATAGCGGTTGATTTTGAAGATTCATTCAACAGCATTTAAATCCTGATATTCAGCTTCCATTTTTGCAGGAGTGGTTTTCTGCTGTCCTTGCAAATTGGCAACTGTGGATACCCTTTCAATTTCTGAACTTCCGATTTGTCCCACAGCAATTTCAGGTTTGAATGGCTTGATGTATTTATGCTTGGCAGTTTATTCAGCCATTTGACATGAAAGAGGCCTAGAGCAAACCAAATTAAGTTGCTCTAACATGGAAATTTTAAGTGCAAATTCTCCTTGGGTGGATCTTCTGTTGTACATCAGTCCCTTAGAAAATTGCTAAGGGCACCAAGGATTATGTAGTTCCATTCATATAGATTGACTAGATTAAGGGGGTGGGCTGGCTACGGAGAGGAATGAAAACCCAGGTTTTTTAGTCAGGCGGGGAGGGAAAAAAAATTTCTAATGTTGTGCTTTTTAAAATAAGTTTTTGCTAATTGATAAATTCCACGACAACTTTCCACCGGGAGTTGACTGGAAAACTGCTAAAAGATTTTGTGTTACTCAAGTAATAATTTATGTATTTTTAAGTGACAAATTGAAGTCTAGGGCCAATTAAGAAATAAGGCCCGTAGTTAAGGGACTGTGGAGAAAAAATAAGCCATTGAAATTGAGTTTGTTTGTCCGGTGTCTGGTATTATTTAAGTTTGTTACTCTATTTAGAATGACAGGAATATTAAGCTTTCTCATTTACATTCAGCTCAACTTTTTCTAGTGACTTACTCCATTGTGTAACTAAATTTTTTGTTCAAAAAAATACAAAATTTCAGGTTCTTGCCGCTAATGCCATTGCTTTAGTTTGGAATGTGATTCTCTCATTCAAAGCTCATAAAGAGGTTCTCCCAAAATAGGTATGTCATTTTTTCAGGAAGCCTTATGACATATAATGATAAGTTGACAAAATATACAAAAATGGGTTATGCATACCTTCATATCTCTCATTTCTAACATTCAGTTGTGGAATTCTTGTTTAACTTCCTAATCTCTAAACAATTTCCAGCACAAGGTCACACATAGTTGGAATGATTGTGACATACGTCAAGATGTGAAGTATTATATTTATTTATATTAAATATATATTATAATACAATACCATATATATAGCAATACACACACATAGTCACATGGAGAATCTAGGATTAGCCTTTCTAAACCAAATATTTGGAGGTAGCTCTTGCATATTATAGGCATTTAATATCATTTTGGTTAACCAAGTTTTGTGATGCTAAACTGAAGCACTCTGTTGTATGTCTTGGGTAAAAACTTGAGCATCCTAGAAAATTTAGCAGGTTCTTTTTATGAAAAGCTGTTGAAATGATTAGGGATCCTAAATGGTAGTTGCTCCTCTAAATAATGGATTGCTAGAGAATTATTTTTCTCTAGTATTTCTAATTTATTCACTACTGAACAAGAAATATAGGAGAGCTATAAGGTTACCAAGTGATTGTCTTCTTGTACTTCAGGTGCATAGAAGTCTCAGGAACACCTCTCAAAATGAAATCCCATGACCAGTAATGATGGATTAGTGGACGTTTTGAAATTGGCTAATCTCACTAAATGCTTACACTTGGAGAAGTTTTCATCTAGCTGTTAGCTTATTGAGTGGTTGTTGCATAGTATTGGTGCGCTGAACATTTTTTTTTTTATATTTTTTGTAAATGCTCTGCTCCATCATGGTCATGGTGAATATGTAGGTGATATATTTCATTTTAATCTGGGATATGGAGTGACCTGCGCAACAACCACATTATCCAGCACTGATCAATATTCCCTTTGTTCTATTTAGATAGGTTTGTGCTATTTAGATAGGAAAAGTTGCCATTTTGGGTTTTTTAATTTAGATAGGAAAAATTACTCTATTTGCTAACTTTGGAAACAATGTTAATGTTGAAAAGACTGTTTTTACTCTTGTTTAGTTTCTGAAAAATGCTTTAATAGTGGTCGACTAACAAGACCGTGGCAGATAAAGACTTGAAAGTGCATTTAATGAGGTTTTTTCCCCCGAAAATCATCCCTTGATGAATAAATGTGGACATTTTTCGTAAAATAAGCACTAAAATGAATGGGATAACAATTGTAAGTGGTTGCAGGAATTGGTATTCGTTCGCATTTTTAATAGGACGTTTGAGAAACTTTGGCCACAAGAGTGCACAAGCTTAGACATTTCTACTCCGCAAAAGTTGGTTTGTGCAGTGTATATGCATGATTAGTTCACAATTGCACACAAGTAAATGAAACAAATTACAGTTGCAATTTTCCCTCCAAACTTTAGGTGTCCTAAATCAATGTTAAGATCAAGCTAAATTTATTGTTTGGTGTTTAATCTCTGGATGACGTATTTAGAGTTGTAGTGGAAGTTGACGGGAATTTGTATTTGTTTGATTTTACGCCCAATCCTTAGCCAGCATGGTATGAATTTTTAGGTGGGAAATTCAAATTTAATGAAAAATTGGTTTGATTAGTGCATGATTCGTTCCAAAACAGATTTAACTTTTCATGTTCAGTTATTAATGGATAAATTGACGTCAAAATTATTCCTTTGATGGTGCAATCTAAAATTAATACATATATTTTCTCTCCCTCATCTATGTGTGGCCATACATAATATGGGTAAAAGTTAATATCATATTAGAGATATATTAGGAAAAAAGTGGCAAAAAATTATAGTTTAACTGTCACATTTATCCTTGTGCGAATTTAACTTTTCCTATGTCACCAAAACAGAGAATATTAAACTTTGTTAATAAAAAGTCTTTCGTGAAATTGTTATTATAGATCTATTTTGATTTTGATAATTATCTTTATGATCGGATAATGGGGCTTTCGGGCTTGAATATGAACATGGCAGATCGTATTATTCATTGGTTTATGAAAATTCTTTTAAAATATTAATCTAAAGCTCTATTTGTTTTCAAAAGATAGGTGGAGTACAAGATCCATCTTTGTCACAATCCGTCAACTTGTGTCGGATCAACATTAGGATCTAAGTGAGCCCTCCAAAACCATAGTAAGCCTCATACTAGTTGGGTCCAATTTCCTATTCACCTCAACGGCCTCAGGCCCAATAAATTATCAAATAAAACATCTCAATTATCAATCTCTGTAGGCGCTATCATAACATCCAATAATTCACCTTAATAGTTTATTGACCCACAATTATATCCCCCTAATTGCACAAATTAATTCAATTACGGAACAATCTAAGATTTTAATTATTACAATCAAGAATTTTAAATATCTTGTCTTCTAGTATTTTTATTTAATAGCCTTTTCAGACGGCTGATTGCAAACGATTACAGAATGAAGGAAAAGCCTGAACTGAAAAAATAATTGAGACAAAGGTGAGCGACTCAATTCAGTAAATAGAGTTAGATAACTCTCTCACCTCACACAATCACACAATTTAGCTCTCATGCTAATAAAGAATGGACATGTATTATGCATGTATCAATTCATCAACCGCAAATACAATAAATTTAAATAATTGTAAAAAGTGGTAATTGGTAATTGGTGTCACCAACCCTAAGGACCGAACATAACCAGAGTATGCTTCACCATATGTTTATACCATAATTCATATCCCATAGTCCTTACCATGTGCACTTTCTATTATTTAGAGTGCACAAGAGATGCCACTCTTCCCGCTTACGGCTAATTTCGTCATTATGACCACATTATTCCAATAATCAAAACACATCTCATACAATCAAGAATATTCACATTCATTTTAAATGCACAACAATTAAGTTAACTCAATCCATTTATTTCATTCACTCTTAGATGATAATTCTATATGTATGCATGTGATAACATATAAACCATGTATGCATGAATGTAATTGTGAATACAACTTGTATTTTATATTAGCATAATTGAGTTTATATAGCAGTATAAAGGGTATCAAATTTAGGTTGTTACAAAATATACGCGTTGTTACATAAAATCAGGAGAATATATCTTAAATATTATTTGAAGGATAAACAAACTGCAGATACTGTTACACGCCCTGCAATTCAAACCCGAAGAGGTTTGAATTGTAAGAAACTGAGTGACTTGTTGATGGCGGGATTTCAACAATCCTTTCATCAAAATATCAATTAGTTGATCCTTTCCGGAGATATAGCGTAAATTGAGAAGGCCCTTGGCTACCATATCACGAATGAAATAATATTCAACTTTAATATGTTTCATATGATTCTGAAAGATAGGATTCATTGTAAGGTAAGTAACCCCTACATTGTCACACTAAAGGATGGGAGGCTTAGCTCATTGAAATTTCTTGCAATAAACACGACAACCAAGTAACTTCAGTCGCAGTAGCACCAATGACTTTATACTCAGCCTCAGCTTCAGTGGAGCTGCGAGCAACCGTTTGTTGTTTCTGATAGGCCCAAGGAATGAGATTTGCACCATAAAAGATAACAAAACATGTCACTAACTTTCGATCAATTTTGTCACAATTCCAATCTGAATCTGTATAAACATGAAACTGAGATGTTGGAGAGTGACGAAGAAGGAGACCACGATGTTGTGTTGCTTTGAGATAACACAATATTCTTTTAAGAGCAACCCAATTAGTTGTTATTGGGGAGTGGAGAAATTGAGAAACGTGATGAATAAAAAAGTAAATATCTGGTTGGATTAGCATAAGATATTGTAACCCAACCACCAAAGCACTATGCAAAGATGGATCAATAGTTGGTTCATTACCCTGGAGCTATAATTTGTCCATGGGTACAACAGGTGTGGAAATACCATTACAAGAGGGCATATAAGCTTTTTCTAACAACTCCTTAACATACTTCCCCTGAGATAGATGGAAACCATCAGGTGTGTGATTAACCTCAATGCCTAAGAAAAAATCTAGACGTCCAAGGTCACGAAGCATGAGATCAGCTCCAAGAGAAATAATGGGGAGTTGAAGAAATTGATCATTATTTTCAATTATGATTAAATCATCAACATAAACCAAGCAAAACAAACTAACATCATATTTATTGTAATATAGCAAAGAAGAATCTGCAGCTAAAATTGCGGAACCACGATTAATCAAAACTGAAATCAGATTCTTATACCATTGTTGAGGGGCCTATCATAAACCATATAAAGATATTCTTAATAAATACATAAAATCAGGTCTGTCTTTATCAATAAACCTAGGAGGCTGCTCGATATAAACCGGGGTATTAATATCACCATGTAAAATGGCGTTTGAGATGTCTAGTTGACGAAGGCTCCAAGAGTTAGAAATCGCAATAGACAAAATTAATCTAATAATGGCTGGCTTGACAATAGGTGAAAAGGTTTCATGGGAATCAACACCAGGTTGTTGTGTGTAACCTTTAAACACAAGACGGGCTTTGCATTTATCAAGGGAGCCATTGGGCTTTTGTTTAACTCTGAATATCCAGTTGCAGCATTATATTTTGAGCATTTTCCCAAGGGACTAAATCCTAGGTGTCTGTCTTTATTAATGCATTAATCTCAAGTTTCATAGCTTGACGCCATTCTTTATGAACTAGTGCCTTTGAATAGCATGTGGGAACCTCCAGGAGAGTTGTATGGGCCAAAAAAACTTTAGGCTTTGAAGAACCAATTTGTGCTTTAGTAATCAGGGTGTGAGTCCTAACTAGTGGGGCATGCCTATCATGTGATGGAACCAAGTCCAACATGGGAGAAGCAACAAGTGATGAGGGTTCTCGTGAATAGAGGTCGACTCGTGAGGCGGATATTATTGGAGGATGAGCGGTGGTGGGGATTGTAGTGGACTATAAATGGGGCTTTGTGAGCAAGTTCTATTAGGTGATTTACTTTGTATACTAGTAGGTGAAATGAGAGGTGCATAGGCTAGAGGAGGGGCACCTAATATTTCTATATCATTGGTAATTTTTGGTAGTGGTGAGAGACTAGAAGGTGTCGGGACAATGGATTGCAGAGTTGGAACAACATCATGCGCAAATGGAAATACCTGCTCAGAAAGGTAACATGGCGTGAGATAAAGATCTTTTTATTGGATAAATAAAGACATATATAACCTTTATGAATTTTGGAATAACCGATAAAGACACAAGTAGCAGAATGAGCATCCAATTTATTTTTGGAGTATGGTTGCAACCAAGAATAACAAAGTGATCCAAAAACCTGAAGGTCATTATAGTTGGACGCTACTTTAAATAGGACCTCATATGGCATAGAGGGCTTTATGTGTACATATGGAACACGATTAATAGTATAGACTGTAGTGTCAAAGGCATAAGTCCAATATTGTTGGGGTACACTAGCATGATACAATAAGGCCCTTCCTGTTTCTACAATTTGTTTATGTTTTTGTTTAGTATACCCATTTTGCTTAGGTGTATAAGGACAAGATACCCATTGTGTTATTTCTTGGTCTTGAGGGTGTTTAGTTAAGGCTTGAAATTCCCCTCCCCAATCTAACTGAAAATTTTTAATTGGCAATGAAAATTATTTTTCCACTAATTTCTGAAATTGAATAAAAAAAATAAAACATTAGATTTACATTTTAGGAAATAAATCCATGTATAATGACTAAAATGATCATAGAATAGCATATAATACAGATGACCATTAGTTGGGGGAACTGGTGATGGTCCTCAAACATCTGAACAGATTAATTCTAAAAGTTGTGCAACATGAGATTGAGAAACTGAAAAAAGACAATTTATGTGCTTTATTAAGACAACAAGCATAACAAGGAACATGATTATTTTTATTAAGTACAGATAAATTATTGGAAGATAAAACTTGCGAAATCGTACGGTAATTAACATGACCCAAACGATCATGCCAGGTTTTGAATTCCACCTAATTGGCTTATGGAGAATAAGAGGAGCTAGTTGGAGAGGAAAAGAATACATCCCATCTTTACTCTAGCCGTGGTAAGAACTTGACTCATACGGACATCCTTTAAAAGAAAATAATCAGAAAAGAATTCAATAACCAGTATTGTCAATGGT